CAGTCTGCTGAGAGCAAAGTCTGTGACGTTGTGATCCTTGCATTCTTCATAGAACCTGTTGCGATGCCTTGTACGCTGGGAGACCTAAGTCTTTGTTGAACTGAATTTGTACAGTGAATCAGAGTCCTGGTTATTTCCTTCATGTAGGACAGCGTTATGGAAAAATTTGAAATACTTCAAAGTAGAGAGATGACAACAGTGAATCCCTGTGTGCTTGTCACCTAGCTTCAGTAAAAATCAATACAGAGCTGGTCTTGTATGCCAGTACCCTGCCCCCTTTAGCCTGCACCTTTCAGAGTGCTTGGTTGGAGAAGTATCCACCTGAGGCTCACTTGGCCAGAGCTGGCCTTTGGCAGCTGCCACCACCTGTTCCCACAGAGGGAGCCGCCCAGAGCTACTAGCATGGGAGCCAGAGAAGGAGGTGTGCTGTGAGTACCTGACTTTGCTCAGGACCCATTCAGACCCAGTCCCCTCTTCTTTGCAACACTGGGTTTAGCCATTTCAGGTATATGTCATCAGTCAGTGTCCTGCTTCCCCCTTCCTCTGAGTGGTGGACTCGGGATGGGCCTGTTAATGAGGCAGGTGTGTCGCTGCATGAAGAAGTGGTCATTGTGCGGCGAAACCTTGAGGGAGACCTGAGGTGTTAGTGTGATGGCCCAGAACCATGATGTGGGGCCCTGGGGGCCTGGAAGCCCATGGGTTCACTGATGCCACAGTGTCATAGGCCCATCCCTTCACTCAAGGCAGCAGATACTTTTTTTAAGCATTGACTGGAGTTTTCTAATTCCCCTGAGTCCTGGGGGAAAGTGTTAGGTTATGTTTCCGTGCTCTGTTCAGGAGGGCAAGAGTCCTCTCATCTTAGAAGAGGTTCCTTCGTAGGTGGTTACGTTCCACTCTTGGTAGGATTTTACGTGTTTATGCTTTAAAGTGGAATGTTTCACCCCAATCTGGTCTGTTTTAGAGACGATCTAACTGAAGAATGTAAGTATTTTGGAGTTTGAGCTTAAGAGACCTTTTTTTCTGCCTTTACGAAGGAGTATGCTGTGAACACCTTTCCGTTTGTGGGGGACTTTAGATACTATGGGAGAAAGTAAATACAAAAAGAAAGATGATGAGAGACTGTGGATTCTGAGAAACAAGCTGAGGGTTTTAGAGGGGAAGGGTGTGGGGGGATGGGTGAGCCTGGTGGTGGGTATTAAGGAGGGCACGTATTGCATGGAGCAGTGGGTGTGGTACATAAACAATGAATCTTAGAACCTGAAAAAATAAAATTAAGATGTCAAAATAAAATCATATATTAAAAAAAAAAAAGACAGCAGCCCCTGTATTCAAGGACTGTAAGGTAGAGTGAGATACTTGCTGGAAAATAACTCTACTATCACTGTCTACTGAGCTGCCAGCAGAGTGGAGGAATGAAGATTCCCACAGGTGCTGTGAGAGAGTGGAGAAGTGATGTGTCATGCGAGTTGAGGGGACCTACTTTCCTGCTCCAGGAGAGTCTGGAAGGCCTGTGGTTCAGGACCTCATCTCATCTAGTGGCCTTGCCCCAGCCCCCCAGATGTCCTCCCTCATTCTCTTCCGTTGGCCTCTCACATTGTCTTCCTTAAACCTGTCACTCATTGTGGCTGTCCCTGGCTCTAAGCCCCCAGTGACTCCCCAGTGTTTGCAGGGTAAAAAGTAACATTCCTTTAGTTTATCCCTAATTATCTTCCCATCTGTTTACCCATATCTCCTACCATGTCCTACTTAATCGCCTGGCCTCTGTGTCTTTTCTCAAATCCCACTGCCGCTCCCTAATTCAGCAGAGTTAATCGCTTCTTGCTCTTTTCTCCCAAAGGCAGTTGCAAGGTGTAATTGGTTATAGTGGTGCCCTTTGCCAAAATGCAGTTATTTGGTGCTGTGAACTCAGGCTAACCTTCTAAGTGCACAGTCTTATTCCACGTAGGCTTTTGCCCCTTCAGTAAGAGTTTGGGCTGCTCAGTAGGAAGCCGGACTTCGGCTGTCCAGCCTGAGTGCCTGCAGACTGTCTAGAGCATCCTGATGGCATAGAAGCCATCGTGGGAACTGGGAGGCCCTAAAGTACCTAGGGTCAGAAGAAAGGAAAGGGAAAGATAAGAAATCTGCCTCTCTACACAATTTAGATTAGGTAAGAGATGAGCAGTCAGCTACTTTTCCTTTTGGATCCAACAAGAGAAAAGACACTCCTACTGCATGGAAATGAACCATGACACCAAATTTTGCTTCCCCCTGTGAGGCTGTGCTGCCAGGATCCTCTGGGAGCTGGGCATTCTGAGGCAAGGTCCAGACTCTGGTCCTGGAACAGGGAGACGAGAGAAGGGGCCAGAGGCTGGTTGATGGAATAAAGGCAGAAGTGGTAGATTTGTGGTTTCATTAAGAAAATCCTGTCGGGGGCGCCTGAGTGGCTCAGTGGGTTAAGCCTCTGCCTTCAGCTCAGGTCATGATCTCAGGGTCCTGGGATCAAGCCCTGCATCGGGTTCTCTGTTCAGCAGGGAGTCTGCTTCCTCCTCTCTCTCTGACTGCCTCTCTGCCTACTTGTGATCTCTCTCTGTCAAAAAAAAAAAAAAAAAAAAAAATCCTGTCGGTTTCTGTATCCCAACGCCATTGTAAACCCAGCAGCTGCTAAAAGAATGTCTGATTTCTTCTCTTTTGCACTTACCAGCTTCTTCTTCTGACCTCTCTCTTTCTTATCCTGGTGGTTTTTTTTTTTTTTTTT